TTAAATTGAAGTAGTTGTATTTTGCACAGAATAAGTTTGGGTTTGCATGATAGGAGATATGAAATGTTTGTCACTTAAAATTATTTAGTTCTTCGTTTTATTATTGGGGAGGAGGGATAAATTGGCTTTGGTTTGTATAGGTGAAAATAAAGAATTAAGACTATGTCGGTATGTCAGATATTGATAAAAATCAGATGTCGAACATATCTATTTCATATAAAGTTCTAATCTAGAATCTTTCCACAGGTTCCATTGCTACCTTTTGTCCCCATCATCCACACGTTTGTCAACGTCTACCTGATGATGCAGCTCGATGAAGGAACCTGGTTTCGCTGGAATCTCGATGATTCTAAGCAACGTGGGTCAGACATCTGTCTTCATTTATTTGTAGTTCATTTTTTTTGCCATATCAATCAATGGAAGACGAGGATGATTTCCTGTGGGGGAAACCGCAGTACCCAGAGGAAACCCACGCATGAATGAGGAGAACATGCAACTCCACGCAGAAGGGCCACAGCCGGGATTCAAAACTGCAACTTTCTTGCTGCGAGGCAACAGTGTTAACAATTGCCCCACCATGCAGCCTAATTTTGCCTATAATTCAGTTGTTTTGCATGTTTGGAGGAAGATTCAGCAAAGCAGATGGATTATTCTTGACGTGTGGTTGACTGTTCGGCCTGTGGGAGGCTTGATAAAAAGCTTCATTGGGATTTCCTCTGTAAACGCCCGCGAAATACAAAAGAGGTCATATGAAGCGACTCGGACTCTTTGAAGAAAACCTCCACTGCTGCAGCAACGGACAGTTTGTGAGGCTGATTTAGTTCACGGTAAGTCCTTGTGACCAAGTATTTGTTGATTAAAAAAAGACGTTTTTAAAACTTTCATCTTCGTGTATTTTTAAACCCACAGTCATCTAGTTTTTGCGTTCAGATTCAGGTGTCTCAGTCCATGATCATTATAATTATAAACAATAAGGACACAGATTAATGAAGACTTACCCAGATTTGCAGTTGCAGTGAGGATTTTTCTGTTTTCTTTGGCCATCACCCACAGATGATGTAAACAACGCTGTGGCTCTGCTCGTCAGAGCTAACTGCTGCTATTAGCAAGACCACGGCTTTCTGTTTTCAGAAGAGATCGATTCAACTTTCCTTAAAACAAAATAATCGTAGGCCTCCAGACATTTGAAAGCCTTTCATTTTTCATGAGTGAAAGCTCCAGGGCTTTCTGTTGAAAAAGAATAATGTCTTCCCAGCAGATTTTTGAAAAACACACAGGTGAATCGGACTGACGTTTTCCCTCATCCCAGAGCTTTTAATAACTTTAATTTTCTCTTCAATACTGATTTTAAGCTTCTCTCTAAATCTCCTCTCGTCTTTAGACGTTGAAGTGTTTATATATTGGAGATTTTGTCCGTAAATTCTCATAAAAGTTTACGTCTCGTATTGATAGCAGGTTTGTTTTGCCACCCAGCCACTCGCGCATGCGCACACAGATGAAGAAAGAGGTCAACAAAGATCCTCCTATAAGATACGCATTGATATTGATGAAGAATTAAACCATAAAAGTGAAGATCTTTCTACTAAGCATTGTCCGCTTAGTAATACATTACTTAATATTAATCAGTTGTTAATACTTTAATAGCTTATTAATGCTTAATAATGCAGCAAGTAACGTTAATGAAGGGACCCTTATTGTAAAGTGTTACCAAGAGTAAATGTGAGTGATGGAAGATACGTGATGTTAGATGTACTTTCTCTTCTTTATGAGGGGAAGACCATGCATTTGTTGGTATTGATTAATCACAAATAAAGAATTAGACCGTATCAGTATATCAGGTGTTAGTAAAACACACATTTTTACTGTTGGTTCTTAAATGTGAGTTGTGCCTCTTTGAGAATGCAGGACACAACTATTTACTCACATTATACCAGACACCACTCATCTCTAGGCACAGGGCATTCCCTGCTCTTTGTAAATGATCTAAACGCTCTCCCAAACAACCGACTCCTTTCCCGCGCTGCATTCAACGACATCTGCCATCGTAGAAGCAGTTTGCACAGGGAGAACCTTTCCTGACTGCTTGGGTCTCGTGGGTCAGACTCTGACAACGTTCCATTTGAGTGTGCACGTTTCATCCTCACAAGTTTAACATCGACATTCCCTTTAAGGAATTCACAGTCACGAGAGCGAAGAAGAACAGCGAGATGACGAACAATACAGACTGCACACTTCAAGCTTGCATATGGAATATTTTTCAGGGACTCTGCTGCATACTGTAATACTATATGACATGTATGGCACTTGCACCAACAGGGGTGCAGCCAATAACATGAACACCTGTAAAATTCAATGTTTCACAGAGCAGGTTATTGCTCCCGAGTGAGCTCCTGCATGGGTTATCTTTGATGTGTTTTTGAAGCATTGTCTCCGCTGCAGAAACACGAGTTCTAACATCCTGATTGGTCAAAACCCAACAGTTAAGGATGCAAACTTGACTAACTGGCAAATGTGTGAAAATCTGAGGTAGCTGTAGCCCCCCCCCCCCCCCCCCCACACACACACACACACACACAAATGGTTTAATAAATTCATAAAAGACACAAGAATACTGTGAAGCAGCTGAAAAACAAGCTCCTCAAAACAATTTCTGACAGAGTCGAGATCTGAAAAGAATGAATGACAGAAATATACAAAAGAAACCATATTCCTTCTGAAAACAATATTAAAATCAATAAAAGTAGACCTAGAGAACAATACAAACAATACGAAAAGTCCCCAAAGAATTGAATCTGCACCTTTGTGAAACGACTTCAATAAAAGCTACATTGTGATCTTCCCAAACTGCCATTCATGCTACAGTTGCTGCTAAGAAGCTTACACAAACGCCCGTCTATAAAGACTCATAATCTGGCGTAAGCAGAACAAAGTGCAGAGGCATAAGAAATGGAAATTAAAATATTACAGTCTGATGAGTTGTCTTTCATCCCCCTTGCATCATGTTGTGTGACTCACTTGAGCTGATTTCTTCTGTGTAGTCATGCACCAGCGTTTCACAGCGCCCCTCGCCACCAAATGGAAAATGAAAATTTTATATTCTGCCGTGTGGGGCGCAAAGTAGATTGCTTCCTTTGTCATCTGAAAGATTTCAGGGTTTTTCCTGCAGTCGGGGGCAATATCCTACTGCACAGACACACAAACAAACACATGATCCATCAGTGATGGCACTTTTCGGTTTAAAGCCTGAACCTTCTCCCGTCGCTGCATTGTTCATGTTTACACGGCACATGATGTCATTAATTGCAATGCTGAAGGAAAAGGAGGAATCTATGCTCATTTAAGTTAGAAAAGCTATACATGTCTCTAAGAAACTAACAACTTTTTATCAGAGATGTTGGATAATGTCACCCAATTTTTGCATTAAAATGAATCGCTGGAAACCGTATGTACCGGTTTTTAGTCTTTAACACATTAAACTCTTCAGTTCTCACTCAAAACACCTAAATATGACAGATCTGAGGTAAAGGTTTCGAAAATTTGAAAGGGTAGAATGCCTTCTCCAGGTCAGGGATGAGGTTCTGCCTCAAGTGGAGGAGTTTAAGTATTTTGAGATCCTGTTCCCGAGTGAGGGAACGCTGGAGCGTGAGATCAATAGGTGTATTGGTGCTGTTTCTGTAGTGATGCGGGCGTTATACCGGTCTGTCATAGTGAAGAGAGGTGAGCCCTTGTTTTACCGCTCGATCTCCATTCCTACCCTCAGCTATGGTCACAAGCTTTGGGTAGTGACCGAAAGAATGGGATAGCGGACACAAGCAGCCAAAATGTTTTCTCTGCAGGGTTGCTGGGCTCTCCCTTAGAGATAAGGTGAAAAGCTATGACATCTGGGAGGGAATTGGAGTAGATCCGCTGCTCCTCCAAATCGAGAGGAGCCAGTGGAAATGGCTCAGGCATCTGGTTAGGATGTCTCCTGGACGCCTCCCTGGTGAGGTTTTTGGGCACGTCCAACCTGGAGGAGACCTAAAGGAAGACCCAGGACACACGCAATTCGATTCAATTCAATTCAAGTTTATATATAGCGCCAAATCACGACAAGAGTTGTCTCAAGGCACTTCTCATAGTAAACATTTCAATACATACACACTCGAGGGAATATGTCTCTCAGCTGGCCAGGAAACTCCTTACGGTTCCCCAGAAAAGCTGGCCCAAGTGGCTGTGGAAAGGCAAGTCTGGGCCTCCATGCTTCTGCTGCCCCTGCAACCCCTCTCTGGATAAGCGGAAGAGAATGGATGGATGGCCTAACTAACACCAATCCATCATCAAAAGGATTCAGCTGAGGTGGATTGAGAAAAGTCTGGGCTCATCTCATAGCAGATGGGTAACCCGGAACTCCCCCTTTGTCACCAGGGAATGCCTTGGACTCTCCTTTGAGCTGGAAAGTGGATGTCTAGGCTTCCACCTGATCTTAGCCAAATGGTGGAAATCCATCCTGCATATGTAGACATATAGTCTGGCCATGACCCATAGACAAAATCCAGTCTTGGTGTGGAATCTATGGTCATCTTTCAAACTGTCTCCACACGCAATTGAACAGCGCTAGACGTATTCATTTATATGGAAATCAGTCAACAGGGCAGCGTGGTCCTAACTCTTAAAGAAGAAGCAAAAACATAATTTTCCATAATAAAGTACTTAAGTTGCTCTATCTGCTCACGTCTCAAAGAAAAGCCCAAATCTAAATCGTCCAAAGTTGATGCCAAAGCCTTTTCAAACGAGCACCGTTCTTGAGTCGACGCCATCTTTATAGCTTTTGTCCATTGGAGCTTGACTGTGATTGGACAGACCTAAAATAGATAGGGCCAATGGTAGACCTGCTGAGGCTACAATAGTGGCTAGACCGACCCGCAGAGCTAAATCTTTAGTTACTTCTACGGTTGGTCGACATTTCTAGGCTACAGAAAGGATGCAAAAAGATCAGATCAGTAGTCAGACGGCACATCCAGTGGCTTGACAAGACTGATTTATTGTCATTTGTAGTAAGGAAAGAAATATGCAGAGACCGGTACAGTGCATCAGACATCAATATCTACTCAGAGTACAAATGCAGACAATTCATCGTGGTTGTGCCCAAACGACGACAATGGGTCAGATCAAGAGTGATTAAAGGTTCTGATTCAGATGCACAGTCTTGTTGCATATAATATACGTTGAAGGACGCTTGCAAAGTGATTCAAAAGGTGGAAAAATGCTTTAAAAAATAAAACCTAAAGGAAAGAAATGACACGTTCACGATACTTTTCACTAAACACAGAAGGATGGTCTTGAATATAAATGAGTTTTCTTCAGCTGAAGGGGGAGCAGATCAAAAGCTGCCATATGCTACATAACATACCTTCAATGACAAACTGCATTAATTCAGCATCACTGTATTTGGGGAAATAAATCAAGGAATCTTTAATTTATGAAAATGTTTATTTATTTAAATTCTTATTTTCCTCCTATTAAATTTTCTTAGATAAAACAGGCAAAGGATGCTTAAATCTGTCGAAAAGACACAAGAGTACGACAAAAAGAGACCCACGAGGGGATAACTAAACAAAAGAACATAACAAAATCGGTTATCGCAGTTATTTTCAAACTAGAACGTGTTTTGAAAATACCTGAGTTCAGCTGTCACCCGACATCAGAGCTGCATCTCGCTTCATTTTAGTTAATCAATAACCTCCTCGCATAACAGCCCGGCGCTGCTCTTTGAGACGTTCGATAATCAAGTGTGTTGAGACAAAAGTCACAGAAGTCAGGACTAATTGAAAGAGGCACATGTCGCTCTCTGCACGAGTTTAGGCGGTTTCTGTGTTGCAGGTTTCTTTCCCAGGGGAATGCGACAGCGCCTAATGAGCACAGAGCATATAAATCACAGCATGTTAAAGTAGTCAAGCGCGTGAGTCATACCTGTTATACCGGCTTCTCCCACATGAAAGAGCACGCTGATCGTCAGCATCAACGTTTAGTAGTAGAATTTAGTTTGAAGAGTTTAGTAAAAATTTATGAGAGAAGCAGTTTAATGTGATCTACTGCAGAAGAAATTTTACTGGTACCTTGACTACTGCAGAGTCTGATCAATTAGATTGTTTTTGATTGCATAAACTTGATCATTACTGATCTTTCATAGGTGGTGGCGCTGGAATATTCATTTAAATAAGCATAAAAACATAAACATCTACAATTTGTTTGTGTGGTCTGTTGTCAGTGCTGTTTTGTAAACGGACATTGTGATAATCCTAGAAAACTTGCGATATTGGCATTAAAATGCTGTGTTTTTATTATGTAACACACTCAATGGAATAAAAGAGCATAGATGTAAATACAAATTTTTCATACACAATGGTCAGACCGGTGAAGTTTCTCATCATGAAGTTTAAAGGTGAGGTTCACTGAAAAAACATTATTTTTGAATTATTATTTCTGATTATAATGGGTCACTGACTTTTTCATGCAGGCTGAACATGAAAATAGTCTCCTACAGCTACTTCCTGCATTAGCTTCTGATGAAAATAGACGGTGAAACTTTAGTATTTGAAAAGCCTGACAGATCTGCATCACACTGTCATTTAACATTGATGGACTCATCCATCTTGACTCACGATGGAGAGGGCTGTTGTTTTAGCAACCAGGAAACCTCAAAGATCGTCTTAGCTAGCAGAAGCTAACCATTAGCTTTAGCAACTCGACCACACAGCTGAACTTCTTCAGGCTTGTGTTATTTGTGGCGATAAAACATACACGTTGCAAAGCAAACAGTCAGTGGTAGAGTTGTGCTGCTGTTAAGCCGGGCGTACACTGTGCGACTTTTTCACTTTTTTGAGCCGATTTTCCACTCGTGCGAGAATCCACGAGATCGGGGCGAGTTTTGCGTCGAGCGTCGTGTAGTGTACAGGGGGTTACGAGAGGCGATCAACACCACGTGACCAGCTACTGATCAGCAATCGTGAGTTCGCACAAACTTCTGGCGTGTTTAATATTTTGCTCGTCCCTCGTGAGGGTATCGCACTGCTGAAGCGGCGCTGCGAGCAGCTGCGACCCAAAATGTATCAGAACCGCTCACGGCGCATGCGCAATCCTGCATCAACACAGCTCCCCGCTATTTCCCTAATAACACACGCTGTTCGTTTTTGTTTCTACACGTTTTTTTACTCACAAAGATTGTCAAGAAAGCATGTTTGTCGTGTTCATGTCAAATAAAACTGATCACAAAACACAGATTTACTTTCTTTATTTCGTTTTCCTCATCCAACCCCCATAAATCCCTGTGTGTCCTCCTGCAGCACTCCCAAAGGACTACAGGCAAAAAAAAAAAAAAAAGTCTGACGTGTTGTGTAAAAACTGCTATTTTTAGCATATTTTTAGGCTGCAGTGTGAGCAGTCAGGTTGCATCCGAGAACTGGGTCGTACAGTGTGAGCACGACTCGTGAGATCTGCTCTGGGAGGAAGTCGTACAGTTTGAGCTGAAGCTGAGTGCTACGAGTGAAAAAGTCGCACAGTGTACGCCCGGATTTAGCCAATCTGAGTAATCTGAAGCTTCTTTCTCCTCAGACACATCTGAGCTTTTTTTTCTAAAAAGTACGGCTTACAAGCCATTCATTACGAGACAACTGCAAATTTATTGATTAAACGAGTGAACCGCATCTTTAAAAGACAAATTGTGTTTTCTTTAAGGCAGGGAGTTAAATGCTAACAGGCTAACAGTCACAGCCTGATCAGTTTTATCAGTTTGAAACTTATTTGCCATTTCTATCCTACAGTAAGTAATTCATTTTAAACTTCAAATTAAGTTTCTTTACAGGACTTTAATGTTTCACAGCCATGTAATTGCATCAGATGTTTAAAATACTTTCCCAAGTTCTCTTTTCTAACCCAACAATGATTGCCCCTTCTTTCACTTCACTTTGTAAAACTCATGACTTATGTTTTGGGAACAACCAAACAGCCTTTGAATGAACTTACAAATGAAAAAAACTAAGACCATCATTAAAAATATCACAAAGGCCTTTCAGTCTCCTTTATTATTATTCTGAGCTACTACAGCAATCAATTTCCCTCTGGGATTAATAAAGTATTTTTGAATTGAATTGAATTTGTGATTATGCTATTAATCAATAGAGGGACACCTTGTTATGCCAACCTGAGCTATAGTAACCATTATTTTTACGTTTTGCTGGACAGAATGACTGATGACTTCACCTCCAACGTACACGAAACCTTGAAATGACACAAGAAAACTACGTACTCATCCATTATTCAAACCTTAATTGTTTTAAATGAACATTCAAGTAATGTGGTTGAAAGTGGAATTACGCCTGCCATCAAAAAGCCTGCTAACAACGAGCTAACACCAACACTAACCAAGTGATCTTAAATAAACCACAAATTTTAAAGAAAAAAAGTATTACTTACAAGTTACAGTAAGTAGCAACAAAGCCAAGTCACCATCAGCCTGTGATTTCATATCCTCCTTTCGCCTTCTCAAATGAATGTAGGTCATGTTCATTTTCACTCTTTTTAGATTTTTGATTCACCTCTAAAAACATAATTATCTGGCTTTTACTTCCAGGCTCCGCCATGATGCCAGCAAAAAGGCAAACTTCTTTTTTCTTCTTCTTGTGTGTTTTAGTGATGGCCGGCAACTGAAAAAGCTAATTGCTAGCCTTTTATTAGCTACCAGCACAGAAAAGAGTAAACAGCCATTAAGCAGGTAGAGTGCCCCCTAGGGCACCTACCCACGCCGCAAATTTGTTAAATACTGTTTCTGGTCAGCAGAGTGCTGTCCCATGTGAAGTTGGTAACGTTTCTACCAACACAATCACTGAACCCCACTTTTACAAGAATTGTTTGAAGTGTAAAAATGTGCTTAGTGTAGCTTTAAAATATGATTTTTCCAACCAGTTTGACACCTTGTGTACGACAGTTTATTTAGACGCACGGACAACAATGAAAACAAACAAATACAGATCAGCAGTGATCAACTCCCTGCATCTTTTGATGTTATAAGCCTATTCATAACAAAAAAAATCTATTTTGCTACCACATGTTTACAATTCTACATGATTTTTCCTCAAATCATTTGTTGTATTCTGATAAATGATGGGCTGGATGTGATGCTTTCCCCTGCCTCCGTTGCTGCTCGGGTTTTTTCTGATGATGGGCCAAATGCAGCCATGCCTATAAATGGCTTCTGGCTAGTGGTGGATGGACTCGGCAGGGATTTTGATTTTTATCATCTAGATGCTGGTGAGGTTGGATGCTTCCCAAATGGACCCATCTGAAGTAAATGGGGTTACACGGTGTCTAAGGTTACAGATGGTAGTTGAAAGCACACAATTTTAAGAAGCTTTATTTTTCAACCCCTTCATTTGAAAAAAGGCTTGAAAACAAAAAAGACGTAGGTTTGGCTGGTGTGCAAGGCTGACACTTCAAGATGAAGGTGATTGTTAACACTGGGTTTGAGGTTGGAATCCATTCTCAATCCTGGTCTCTGTGGAGCCAATCATCCTCTAATAACAGTAATCTATCTCCTCGTTGGCCAGGACAATAGCTGTTCTGCAGGGGATGTAGACCTGAGGAAGAAAGAGACACAGAGAATGACAGAACAGTGAGACGATTGTAGATCAATGATGTTAACAAGATCAGCAATTTGGAGATTACTGAATCTTCAGGGTACTTTTTTCTTATTTTTTTAAATGACACATTAGGAACTTGGTCAGGCACTTCTTATAACCCGCGTCAACATGTCAGGAAAAAAAGATGAGAAGAGTAAAGAAAGTCTAGAAGGTGTACTTGTACAGAAATTCACATTTAAAAAGAAAAATGGCTACTGATGGGAGAGAAACACCACGGTTTTGATCAAACTGAACTTCCAAGGTTAAGAGAGGTAAAAGTTAACATAGCCTAATGGCCTCTGGGTGGCACTGAAGTTAACAAACTAACCAAAGATGTCTTACAATATTTAAGGGCCCCCCCTATATTATAATGCTACAGGTTTTGTTCTAAGCTTTGGGCTATTTTAAATGTGCATTCTGATGTTCTGAGTTCTGTAAACTTGCTCACTTTTTGAAAACTCACATCTTTGACTAAAAGCTCGAGCATTCAAGTGAAAAATCCCCCAAAAGAACAATGCTGCCTGATTCGGGGGCACCCCTGTCTTTCCTGACTTTAACTTCTCTTCTCTATAATAACTTTACAATAAATAAGTATCTCAAAATATTGGCAGAGTCCACTTTAAATATGGTGTTGTGTGAAGAAACACAATCTGCCAGTGGGCATAAGCTGATCTAAAAAGAGTTCTGTGGACCAAAAAACAAACAAATAAATAAAATGTGTTAGCAGAAAGTAGAAAAGAGAGCAGAGCAGATTCTCTATGAACATACAGTAAAAAAACTTTCATTAAAGGTGTCATTTTCAAGCCGTGCAGCTAATAAAGTCTTTGATCCATTCTTTTGATATTC